ATTATGCAATTTTTATCTAGATGATTGAGGCCTCATTTACACACACACACACACTCACCATTGCCCACCCTTGCACCTTCATATATTACATCCCTTTCTTTTGCCAAACTTAATTTGCCAGAACATTTTTTCTCCCATCAAGCACGTATTTCTTTTGAGCAACATCAAGAGTGTATGCAAATACTAAGTTTGGGGTGTTGATTTTGATGGTAGTTGCTTGAGGACAAGCAACCTCTCAAGTTTGGGGTGGTGGACATCATACATGTTATTAATACATGTCAAAAAATAATTAATTAAAAAAAGAAGAGTGGTTGCCAAAGTCCAAGAAATCATAAAAAAAGAATGAAAAAGGAAAGAAAATAAAATGAAGCAAGGTCCAAAAGATTGAAGATATCTTTACATAATGAAAAATGATGAAAAACAAGGTGAAAAAAAAATGCTTGAACCTCTTAGGCTACCTCATTTAATGCATTTCATTCTAATTGATGTATTCATTCAATCAAAAGAATTCCCTTATCTTGAAAACTCACTTGAGCTTTTGACCCTCCTTGATCAAATTGAACCTTACCTATCCCTATTTGTGACCAACCAAGTCCTTTTGATAGGTAAATCATTGTATTAAGGCAAAGGAGATAGAGAATATGGGCAAGCATATGGTAGGGTAGAGCAATTTGCATGTATTGAGGGAAAATACCTAACTTGAAACACTGACGAGTTAAGAGTGAAACACCACCTTGTGACCTAGATAATTTCTTTGCATTGTGTGAAGTATGATGAACCTTGTTGAATTTTTGTTTCACTTGTATGGGACTTTGCATAAAATTAATTGATATGAGTGTGCTTTCTTTGTTGAATGACTCCATGATTTTGAAATGGAGAAAGTGCATAATAAAGTTGAAAAATTGGAATAGAAAAATTTTGAGAAAATTTTTTGGATAAGTCCAGTCCTTTCTACTTAAATCCTTGAATTTTGGTTTACTTAAGGACAAGCAAAAATTTAAGTTTGGGAGTTGTGATAAATCCACATTTTACTAAATTTTTATACATCATTTATTACTTTTTATAGAAAAGAATAGACTTAGATAGTGTAAATAAGATGAATATTCCAATTAGGCTAAATAATATAGGTTTTTTAATTTTTGGTTAATTTACATTGATTTAGATAGTTTATTTTACATGTTTTGATCATTTGAATAATGTGACAGGAATCCCCAAGCTTATTTTGAAGAATTATTGGATTTTAAGGAATTTGAGGTGAAAGTAACTACTTTCAAAATTGATAGTGACAACTACAGCAAGCCATTTCCAGCAAATGGACCAAAGTGATCACTTTCAAAGCTTAAAGTGACAACTACAACAACCCAGAATCCACTAAACTTGCGCGTGGTTACTATGAATATTCATAGTAGTCACTCCAGAGCATGCAGAATTGAAGGTGCTGCGCGTAGTTACTATCAAAATTCATAGTGACAACTCCAGAGAGTCCAACATGTCCCAGTGCTGCGCGTGGTTACTATGAATATTCATAGTAATCACTCCAGAGAGGCAAAACCCAACTGATGCTGCGCGTGTTTACTATGAAAGAATGAGAGTAATTACTTTGGAGGGCGCCAGCTTTAGTATAAATAGATTTTTACCAAATTAGGGTAGAGAGTTCTTACACTTTTCATACCTTTTCTCTTCTTTACTAAATTTAGGACATTTTCCAGAGCTTAGGGCAACCTTGGGTAACAGCCAAGGGTCCAACCTAGGGTTTGGTTTCTCATTTCTCTTGCTTTTACATTAATGTTAATAAATTTTCTGTACTTCCCAACTGCGTTTTTTACCCCTATTTTCATGGAGGGTTAAATTTTGTGTAATTCTTAGTAAGTTCACATAGATTCTTGAGTTCCTTGATTTTAATGATAATATAATTCCTTTCTTCTCATGAATTACTTCTTCCTTGTCTCTTGAATTGAATTAATGGTGAATGAGGGGGATGTTGCTTAATTAACCCTAATTCGTTTTAAGGAGATTCTAAACTAGGGATTGCTTAATCCTAGGTTTAATTCTAAGGTTGCGTAACTTTGGGATGAGAGATTAGAGCCTAGCAAATTGCGTAATTTCGTTAGGACCATAAGGTTGATTTTCGCTTGTTAAATTAACCTAATTCATGGGAAAGATGATGAATGTTAAATCTTAAGTGGAATGAGGATAGAATCTTTGTGGATGAACTAAGGATTGCTATTTTCTATTGTTTGAATTAATTAAACTTGTTTGCTTGTTGCTCTTTATATTAACTTGAAACCACAAAACCCCCCATTTTAATTGCTTGTTCAATTAATGCCTTCAACATGTTTAATGAATATTAATAGCCAATGTTCACGGGAGACAATCTAGGGTAATCCTAGTACTACATTAATTTGTTTAAATTTTGATGAGGATTTGCGACAAATTTTTTAAACACACAACTTCGCTTCATCAACACTCTCACTTCTTTGTGTGGTTGATAGTCTAGCCCAAAAATCTTGTTTTAAATATATTGGCACCCATCTATGTCGGTCAATGAATAATCCACACAACTATTCATTTTGTTCAACATCAAACTTCTTCAAAAAAGAATATCATTTCTCTTCAAAATAATCCTTCGTTAGACTATCATAAACAACATCTTTCATTGCTGATTTGATTTGTTTATATTAACCATATCCCTTCAGTTTTTCTAGAATTTTTTTTTTTGTTATATGCCATAAACACCATCTATGTCGAGTATTAGGAAAAACTATTGCAATAGCTTTGCATTAGTCAGTCACAATCCCATTGGGTGCCTTCCCACACATGTATCTAACCCAACAATTGAAAAGTTATACAAATATTTTTGTATCTTCTATTGATATTAAGCTACAGCCAAGTAAAACTGACTAACCATGGTGATTTACACCAACAAAAGCAGCAAAGGGCATGTCATACTTGTTGGTTAGGTAGGTTGTATCAAAACTAACGATATCTCCAAAAGATTCATATGCAACTCGACTTCTAGCATCTATTATCATATTCCTAGTAGTTTTAGACTTATCAGCTAATATTAGTGACACCTCAAGAAATAACCTTTCATAAGTTTAGTAACACATATTACACAAGAGGAAAAGAAATTGTGTTAACCCTGCAACATTACCAGTTTTATATTAAAATTACCATCACATTAAACATTGAATTACCAAGTTTATATGTCAATTACCATCTTCATACAGTTTAGACGTAGCATATCTTCTATGATATTAGTAGCAGTTTCCTACTTATGGCCTAATATTGGTGACAAAAATTTAATAATCTTATGTTAGCCATTAATTAAGTTAGTTCACTAACATATATTATAGAAGTAGAAAAAATTTGTATACACTTTGCAACGTTATCACTTTTTACATTCAATTACCATCAAATTAAAAATTGAATTACTAGATTTTTATGGTGAATAACCATCTTTATACAGTTATAATAATAGCATTATTGTTATCATACTCAGGATTAACAGAAAACATATGTAAAATGATTTAACGTTGGCTTATACACTAAATTACTAAAACCTAGGTAAAAAATGTATTAACTTAATATGTGAAATTAACTACTTTCACTAACTGTCATTGTTTATAAGGCTACCACAGAGGAATCTAAAATGATTTCAGAGTACTCATCAATATTGTAGAAAATCCAAAGAAAAGGACACTAAAAGTACCTATGATGCTGCAACGACTAATGCCTAACCAATATTTCAACCTACCCAGGAGTAGGCTGCAAAGAACTAGTGAGAAAGAGTCACGCAACAATGAATAGTCCCTAAGAGTGAGAAAGGAATTTTTTTTGTTGAAGAAGGACAACAACAACGTAGCTTCACGATTCAAATGTCTTTTTTTTTTGTGGATTTGTTCAAGAAGAAGAGAGGAGGAACCAGAGGCCAGTGGACGGGAGAGTTACACGATGTTGTAGTTTTTTTTTTTTAAAAAAAATTGATTAACTTTGAGTTTAGACAATATATTCATGTATGTAGAATAACTAATATGCAACCTTGTATTTGAAAACTATTGGTATACGATATTAAGTATAAACACCAAATTTGGATGTTTGAATAGCATTACTGTTCAAATCCATGGTGTGTGCTTACAACTCTCACCATTAAAAATTGTTTGGCATTATCTTTTTATCTATATTTTAATAAATTCAAAATAAATTTAAAGGTTAAAAATATTTCCGTAGTTATTTTTCAATTACAAAGAATGGTAATCCTAAAAAAAAGACATTTTATTTTATTTTAACATTTTTATTTATGTATTTTAAGGTACATATTAAAAATTATTATTATAAAGTAAAAAAATTGCATCAGAAAAAAATAAGAAATAAAAAGACAATACTTAATCAATTGATCAAGTACCGTTCAATATAAATAAAATTAAAAAAAGCAAATAGAATCATCAAATTAATATATATATATATATATATATATATATATATATATATGAATGATTAGAAAGTGATATTTATCAAGCATTACGTTTAAAAAAAAATACATAATTATTACAAATCAGTTATTACAATATAAACTATAACTTCAATGTTTTAAAATCGCGAAGAGAATTAATCAATATGTATGTTTTCTATAAATTTAAAAAACAAGAGAAAAAAAAATAAAACAAGTAAACGTAATAATAAAAATAGAGATAAATTTATCATAAATTTTATAACTCAATTGCGACACATCAAATATTTTGAACCTCAACTTAATAAAGTGGACACACTCATGGTGAGTAACAAAGTTCATAGGATTAAAAAGTTCTTAAAAAAAAAGAAAAGTTTCTAAAACAAGTAAAATTTGGTTTTTGCAGATTTTTTAAAATTTAACTCACCTTAAACTAAAAATTCCAAATTTAATTTGAACTGAAAAATTAAACCAAAAGTCCTACGTTTTGGACTGCCGACATAGGTCTAAACAGATATACACACACACACAGCATAACAATAACATAGCTAATTAAGAGAAGCCGCAAGGAGGTAGTGTTGTGTTGGATAATATATCCAAATATGGAAGAAGCAACTTTCTGGTCGATTCTGATCATAACTAGTTCAATTTTTCTCCTCTCCTTTTTCAATCTTTTGAATTCCATACTTAAAAAACAAGCCAACCATAAAAACCTTCCACCTAGTCCACCACCTTTACCCCTCATAGGTCATCTCCACCTCATAAAAGAACCATTACACCGAAGTCTACATAACCTCACCCACAAATATGGCCACATCATGTTTCTCAAACTTGGGACACGCAATGTCCTCGTTGTCTCATCACCTTCAGCAGTAGAAGAATGCTTCACAAAAAACGACATCACTTTTGCAAACCGTCCCCAAACACTTGCCGCTAAGCATCTCAATTACAATAGCAAGACTGTGGGGTTTGCTTCCTATGGTGACTACTGGCGCAACCTTCGCCGTCTAACAACAGTGGAGCTTTTCTCTACCCATCGCCTTGCCATGCTCACAAGGGTTCGAGAAGAAGAGGTTGAATTGTTGGTTAAGCAAATATTTGAAGAGTGCAAAGGGCAAGAAATGTCAAAGGTTGACCTCAAGTCAAAGTTTGTGGAGCTTTCTTTCAATATGATGCTGAGGATGATATCTGGGAAACGGTACTATGGTAAGCATGAAGTTGCACAAGAAGGGAAGGAATTTCAGAGTCTGATGAAGGAGTTTGCGGAGCTTATGGGAAACGGAAATTTGAATGATTTCTTTCCGGTATTGCAATGGGTTGATTTTCAAGGGGTAGAAAAGAAGATGGTGAAGCTGATGGAGAAGCTGGACAGGTTCTTGCAGAAGCTCCTTGATGAACAACGGAGAAACAGACACGTGGATGAAGGAAACCCACAAGGGAATGTGACGCTGATTGGTGTCATGTTGGACTTGCAACAAACGGAGCCACAATTCTACACGCATGAAACCGTGAAAGCTGTTATCCTGGTCAGAAAATTCATTTTTTTTTTATTGTTAATATGACATATCTCATTGATTTTCCCAAGAAAAAATAAGAATTCAGTTGATAAAATTTTAGAGAAATAATCAACATAAAAAATACTTTGAAAATAATTTATATTTTTCTATTTTTGGAAAAAATTTCTAGAAATTTACCTTTACCAAATTTGATGAACGATGATGAGTGATCTCGAATATGCTAAGAGGAAACATAACGTGATGCTTTTTCTTTTTACTAAAGAAATAGCTAAATTATTTAACAAGAATAAACGCACACTAATAAAAACTCAATTTCGCGTTTTTTTTTTTAATTTGATTCAGTTTTAGTAAATTTTTACTGAATTAAAAAATTAGGATAAAAACAATTTTTTTATGTAGAAACTTTTAGGAAAATTACTCAGAATAAACCTTTATCTACCATAAGATAATTTTAGTTGCTTTTGCTATCTCTAAGTTATCTAGTGGCGGCTACGAAAAGTGCAAGAAAATTTGAAATTGATTTCTCCACATTGAAGTGGAATATGGTGTGTCAAAAATTAAGCACCATATCTTTCGATTTTATTTGTTGATATAGACGGGCTTGACTTGTTATGTATATAATAACATAAAATTAAACAAGACATTAATAGAAAATTACCTTTTTTTTAAAAAAAAAGATATATTATTAAAAACTATTTATTAAATATTAAAGTTTTCTCTTATTCATCCCTTTTGTTGATGAATTATAATCTGAATCAATCTTAAATTTTGCACGTTATTTATGTGATTGAAATTTTTAATCCAACTGTTAAATTTATGATTAAATTATCTAATAAAAAATATTAAACCGTGTAAGAATAAATTTCTGACGTTAATCTAATCAAATCCTAATCAAGAACATAATGTAGCTGTGAAAAACTTATGCAGACGATTCTTGTAGCTGGTTCAGAAACTGCGGCCACTTCCATGGAATGGGCATTCTCTCTTCTCCTTAACCATCCAGAAACAATGAACAAGGTTAAGGTTGAGATAGACAGTTATGTAGGACATGATCAACTGTTGAATGAATCGGACACAACAAGACTAAAATACTTGCAAAATGCAATTACGGAGACACTACGTTTATATCCTGCGGTTCCTCTTCTTCTGCCCCACGAATCCTCAATTGATTGCAATGTTTGTGGTTTTGATATTCCACGAGGGACGATGCTACTTGTGAATCTATGGACTTTGCATAGGGACGTTAACTTGTGGGTTGATCCAACAAGGTTTATGCCAGAAAGATTTGATGAAGGGGAACAAGGTGGTCATGTTTATGATATGATTCCATTTGGTATTGGAAGACGAGCTTGCCCAGGAGTTGTTTTGGCCAAACGTTTTATGGGACATGCATTAGGAGCCTTGATTCAGTGTTTTGAGTGGGAAAGAATTGGGCATCAAGAAATCGACATGACAGAAGGAATAGGACTTACGTTGCCTAAAGTTGAACCTTTGGTTGCCTTATGCCGACCCCGCCAAGCTATTATCAAGGTTTTGTCTAATATATAAATTAAGGATAAATTATACATTAATTAATATATTTTATCATCATAAGTCTAAGTTGACTTTTAAATTTTCAATTAAGTCTCACTTTCTAATTTTTATGTGAATCTAACATTATGCTTTAATCTTTATATAAAGTGAACATTACCTTTTAATTCTTGTATAAAAGTTGTTTATTTTTTTTTATTGTTGATCATTTTCTCCGTATATTATTATAGGTCTTATCTCTCAAATGGCAAGATTTTAGTGCTTAATCAAATAATAGAATGCAAATTTTCAACCCTAATTTTCTAAATGTTAATAGTAGAAACAATGTAATAAGTATTATTTTTAAGGCCGTGTGTAAAGAGGAAATTTTGCGAAGACTTAATAAAGTATGTTTATATATTTTTATAAAAAATATTTTTAGTTTATTTAGAAATTATATATCTTTAAATGTAAATAAGTAAAAAATATGTTTTTGAAACAAAAGATATCAAGATAAAAATGTCTTATTTAAAATAATTTATGGTGATAGTTTAGTTAAATTTACTAGATGTGTTAAATAGGTCTGCTTTAACTAATTTTTTTTAACTAATGTGGATTAGAACCAAGAAATTTATAGAGTTAAGTGAATTACGATTAACTCATAGATCAATTATTTTTTAAAAAATTATTATAATCTATTAAAAATATTTATTTTTATAACATATTTTTTATTATAAATTTATAAATAAATAAATAAATAAAATTAAAAAATAATAAATAAAGAATAATTAAATTTATATAATATTAAATATTTAAAATAAATTATTATTATTAAATAATATTAAATAAAATATAACGATTTATTATAAAATTAAGTTACATGTCTATCAATTTTTTATTATTGATAATTATTAAATTATAATAATATTTTTTATTTATATAATTTTATAAATATTTTTAACATATTATTTTATAATTTTATTTAAGTATTAATTATAAAATATTTCAAATTTTAGTAATTTTATATTATTATATTTTATTTATTTATTTTTATAAAATTATCTTATAAATATTACATATTCAATAAATATTTTTAAAATTATAATAAAGGCACAAAATTCGCCAAAAAAATTATTTTAGTTAACTTTGTTAAGTCATTTGTTCTCAAAATGCTTAAAATAATTTATTTAAATAAAATTTAAAATGTTAAAAAAATAAATACAACAACATTATCATGAAAATCATAAACATATGATATTTAATATTACATAATTTATAATTTAAGAAAAGTAACTTATGAAATTAACAAAATTAATAAATTTTAGTAAATTTAAATTTTGACTATTTTAATTAATATGATTTATTTTTAAAGTGAACTTGGTTGGATAGAATTGATGAAATTTTTTATTATTTAAATAAATTTTTTTATTTAAAAAATATATTTTTAATTAATTTTAAATAAAATAATTTAATAAAAATATGAATAAACCTATTTATCTTTTATTTGAAAAATAATAATATTTATTAATTACTTTAAAAAAGTGTTTATTTATTTATTTTATAAATATAAAATTTATAGACATAGACAATTAACTTATGAACTTAGCAAAAATTAATATTATAAAATTAAAGTTTAACTTATTTTAATTGATAGAATTTATTTTTAAAGTGAAATAAGTTGATTTGTAGAATTTTTTATATTTAAAATATATTTTTTAATTAATTTAAATAAAATAATTTAATAAAAATAATAAATAAATATATAAAAAACCAGCGTTCAAAATATGAAGAAAAATATAATACTTATTAATTATTCTCTAAAAAAAGTTTTTATCTACTTATTTTACAAATATTTTTAAAGTAACAATACAGATACAAAATTGACAATGAAAAGAATGTTAGCTAAATTTGCTAAGCATTTATTATCAAAATGCTCTAAATGATTTATTTAAATAAAAGTTAATATATTTAAAAAATAAATACAATGCTATCATTATAAAAATCATAAATATATGATACTTAATATTGTAAAATTTATAGATATAAAAAATTAAACTTATAAACTTAGCAAAAATTAATAAATATTTAAAAATTTAAATTTTGATTCATTTTAATTAATAAAATTTATTTTTAAAGTAAAATAACTTAATTTATTAATTTTATTATTATTTTAAATAAAATATTTATATTTTAAATATAGTTTAGTTAATTTTAAATAAAATAATTGAATAAAAAGAATAAAATACACATGTATTTTCTTACCAAAAAATAATATAATATTTATTAATTACTTTCTAAAAAATATGTTTATTTATTTTTATATAATTATTCTAAGAACTATCATACATTAAATACATATTTTTAAAGTAATAATAGAGACACAAAACTAACGTTAATTAAATTTGTTAAGTCATCTATTATAAAATATTTAAAATAATTTATTTAAATAAAATTTAATATATTTAGAAATAAATATAACATTCTCATTATAAAAAAAAAAAAAAATATATGATACATGATAGTACGAAATTTATAGACATTAAAAAATAATTTATAATTAATAAATAATTACAAATTTGAATATTAACTCGTTTTAATTAATAATATTTTTAAAGTAAAATAACATAATTTAATAGAGTTATAAATTTTTTTTATTTAAAATAAAATTTTAATAAAAATAATAAATATATATATATGTATTTTATTAAAAATATAATTTTTTTAATTAATTTTAAAAAAATTGTTTATTTATTTATTTTTATAAAATTTTTAAAAAATTATATATTCAATAAATATTTTTAAAATAATAATAAAGATACAAAACCCACAATAAAAAAAGTTACTAAAATTTTTTAAGTAATCTATTATAAAATACTCAAAATTATTTATTTAAATAAATTTTAATATTTTAAAAAATATATACAATACTGTCATCATGAAAATAATAAACACACTTAATATTGTTAAAAAATTTATAGATGTAAAAATATTTACAAATTTAAAATTTGATTAATTTTAATTTGATATAATTTTTTATTTTTTAAATATATTTTTTATGTTTAAAATATAATTTTTAATTAATTTTAAATCAAATTATTTAACAAAAATAACAAATAAACATATATATTTTTTATTAAAAATAATATAATATTTATTAATTAAGAGAATGAGTTAACCCATATTTAATCATCATCTTAGCCTACCTTTTTGTTATATATTAAAATTTAAGGTTAAAATAAGCTTATTATATATAGAATTTAAAGAAAATTAAAACTGTATAGTAATTTATATGAGGTGAATTGTAGGTGTAAGACCACAGCACTAAAAGTTATTTATATTTTATTTATTAAAAGGTTTTAAATTATTCTCATACCCAATTTGATTATAATACTTATTAGAATTGTTTTTTTAATAAATTAAATTATATTTTAAACGATAATTTTGTTCACTTAATATTTAAAAAATATTTCTTGATACAATATAAAAATTTATACGAATAAATTAATTATCTTTAATATTTTATTTTCCATTTTATTTAGCCATTTAATTTTATATTGAAAAATAAAAACATATTGTTAATTTTACTAGGTAATTAAAATATAGACTCGTTTAATGACTCATTTGTCTGATAAGACATTTTTGCGCACGTTAGTAAGCTCAAATAATAAAATAAAAATGTAATGTGAATTTTGTAAATATAATAATTTTTTATATATAAAATAAATCATAAATCACTATCAATTATAAATATTAAATGATTAATTTAACGTTATTAATCGGATGAATTATTATAATAAAGTATTGTTATAAATACCCTTATAATTCCTAATTAATTTAAGGGAATAATCATTCATAAATTTAACAATTAAGTAATAAAATTTATCGATAAATCTATTAAAGGTATATATTAAAAATAATAAATATTTATTTATTAAAAATCATAATAAATTATAAAATTCGAATAAAAAACATTGATAATATTTATACGATTTTTATTTTAAATTTATTAAATAATTGTTCTTTTTAATTTAAAAATCACGGGTCTAAATTGTGAAATAATTTTTGCCAAATAAAATGGTAAAACAAATTCCTTATATATAAAGCGAATGCGTTGCTTGGTGGACACTGTATTGTGTTGTTTGTTGGGAAAGAAGGAGAAGAGAAGATCGAAGTGAAGACGATGGAGGAAGCAACAGCATCAAAGTGCATACCACACCAAATCGGAGGGGTTCAAAACGATGCGCTTCGATTCGGACTCCACGGAGTCAAGAGCGACATTGTTGGTTCGCACCCTCTCCAATCTTCCGTCGAATCTGTAATCTTTCTCAACTTTCTTCCTTCTTTTCAGTTTCAACTTCCAATTTTCCTCCGTTTTTCTGTATAGTCTGCTTTCGGAACCGCTTTATCCAGTTTCAGCTGTTTGCTATTTCCCTTTTTAATTAGGGTTTCCCTTAAAAAAAAAAAAAACCTTTAATTGAAACAAATCTAATTTATCGTCGAATAAACAGATTCTCTTTGGTTCTGTCTTTGCAAGTTTGGATTTTGAACTCAATTTTTGTTTTTATTTTTCTTGGGTTTGCTGTTTTCAGACAAGGAGGATCGATGAAGCGATGAGGAGGCAATGCAAAGTCAATTTGTATGGAACTGCTTTTCCACTGAAGCAGGAGCTTGACAGTCAAATCTTGTCTAGGTACGAGTATTCGAATTGGAATGATCTATTGTAGTCTAGTTTCTTGAGATGTTTCGAAAGTTAAAACTGTTTCAGTGATAATATGCACATGACCTTGTTTGCGTTAGTGGTTAGTTGTTAACTGCGTATAGCTGTTATTTCAGGCACAGATCATATAGATCACCATACTGGGGACATAGGGCAATGACTTTGGAATGTTAATGTGTGCTAAGATTGTGCTTGTTCTATAAATATTAAAACAACTATTAATGTGTGAATGAGTTTCTCATTAGTGATTAACTAACATTGCCATATTGGTTGGTTCATATGGTTTGGTGGGCTGAACTTTGACTCTTGATGGAGATCTAGTGTGTTTTTCAATAAAATTGCTTAAATATGTTTTCATGAAGTAGGGAAAAAAGCAATTTAATTTGATGCTATGCCATTGTTCATTGTAGGTTCCAGCGGCCTCCTGGTCCAATTCCATCTTCAATGCTGGGTTTGGAGACTGTTACAGGAAGTCTTGATCACTTTGGTTTTGAGGATTTTCTAAATGGTGATATGATCTGCCTTTCTTTTTTGTATTGTTGTTGGAAGTGTTTATTACCTACTTTGAAACATGTTGCTTCTGCTTATGAAGTGGTTTGTGCTTGATATAATGAAATTATGCTTCATTAACATGAAATCTTCAAATTAGTACTGTTAAATGTTGTGATTGTTATGCTGCAATTGTGGAACTTATGTTTCATTAACTTTGGAAATGAACTCCATAAATAATAGTTGCCATGGGATATAACTGGATTTTGTCTGTTTCAATTGTTTTTCTGATTAAATAAATTTGTAGCCACCTTGGATCTTTTCTGTTATCTAAGATTTGGGAAGAACTTATGCTCTAAACCTTAAAACATTATATTAAACTGTTTTGCAAGTTTTTCATGTTAGTAGGAATACCAGAAAAAGTTGTTTTTGGGGGGCATAAGCAACTATGCACCTTTTTGCTGTGGTATGATATTTGTCTTGTAGATCAATGTGAAAAAGCTTTGCTGTGGTAATTGGTGCATGCAATTATGTTCCTTTTGTTTTGAGATGATTATTAATGTTGCAGTGACTTGGATCATTCAGGAATCTAAAGAGTCTATACTAAAATCTTCAAAGCTGAATTAGACTTGTTTAGAATTTCCATTGCTATTGAAATTTTGCAAATTGCATAGTGTGTTAGGACTTATTCATACTTAAATCACTCTTTCAACCATCAATCTTGGTTAGGGGGATGTATAGAGCAATGTATACATAAATTTTCAAAGCTGATTCAGACTAATTGAGAATTTTCTGTTGAAAATGGTACACTGTTTTAAGATATGAGTGACATTATAATTTAAATTTGATACTGTAAAGATAGATTTATAGTTTCTATCCCCTAGTGATAATATTTTAGGCTCACATTAGGTTTAACCACCGAAAAGGACATAGCCTGCTCAGAATCCTGTTTTTTAGTTGTAGCTTTCTTCTATCAATAATGAATTTGGGATCCCTGATCATTGAGGAATGCAATTTTAGTTGTTGTCCATAATGCACATCATTTATATTTTTCTGTTTCTGTCTGTCTTCTCAATGTTGCTAACGTTGCTTACAGACCCTCGCGAATCTGAGACTTTGCGACCACTGGACATGCATCATGGGATGGAAGTTCGTCTTGGTCTATCTAAGGGACCGGTGCACCCAAGTATTATATAAGTAAATTTGACTGTTATTCTAGTATCGGAAAACAGTGTTTTATGGTAAAACTTCCTTGATATTCATTAGAAGGAAAGGTCTAAGTAACTTGGGTATTTGTTCGTGGACTTGTGTTTTCCTATGTTCGGGATTATAAATGTTATGGTCCATATAAAACACGTCTTGTCTTTCAAAGTAAAGCAGAATTTATGTACCAGGCATTTGAGTTGAGCATCTGTTGTTACATCTGGCAAATATCCCACTGTTAATTCTACCATGACTGCTTGGAAGCATGGATTGTCATGTTTCAAGAAATGTCAGACCTTATCCGATTATAATCAATGAATAAGGACATTCTTCCACCCCATAAATGGGTGAGTTGGGTGCTGGAAAGAGAGAAAAAAGAGGGGAAAAAATGAAGAGAGATGTGATGGGAAATTTAGAGAGAAATAGAAAAAATAATAGGTGTATATATAAAGTAATGTAGGATAATTAGTTGATCGTATATTTGTTTTTTCTTTCCCTGTTTCAATACTCTATACGAAAAGGGTTTATTTCGTATGCATGGAATGGTTGACGAAAATGATGCACGTTCTTCGACTGGAAATGGGGTACAGTAGAAAGAAATGCCAAATTAGTCGGTGACAAGTGGTCTATCCTTGTGTTTTTCATGAATCTTGGCTCTTCATTTTGTACAAACTCGGATGTTTTCAAGTCAAAGTTTCCCACTTGAATACAAATCCAAAATCGAAGAGAAATTTTACAATCAATCTCAAATCTACACTTTGATTGCCCAGGTAGCCGATTTATCCCAATGGAAGCAGCTACCTTCCCAATTCCTATCTCCATGTCGTTGCCTATACTTTGCGACCAGTGTGACATTTGCTTTTATTCACACCAGATAAAGATGGGGAAAGAGTTGCATGTGTCATGTTGGAGACGGTAGCATCCATGTTCCAAGTCAGGGCTTCCAATCCTTGCAGGCTTCCACCTCCCCAAGACGCTGCTGTATATATTTTTAAGTTCCAGTTTTAAGTTAAAAAGATTAATCCTCCTACCTTTTAGTAATTTAAACATACATCTTTATTCAAACTAATTTTATAAAACTCAAATGAATGAACACTTGTTTTGGTTCAACAGAGAGTGAAATAGAGAGGAGAGAAATAGATAAAAAAAATTTCAAAAAAATAAAGAGGAAAGAAATAGAATAGAAATAATTAATTTTTAACTATTTAATTTTTCAATAGTAATAGTAATAATAGTTTTAATTTAATAAAAATTTATTTATTCAATACAATATATTAATAAATTTAAAATTTTTAAAAATATTTTTATATTTTATAAAGTATTAACTAATATATATATATATATATATATATAAAGGCTCACTTGGAAGTTCCCATGCCCCTCCTTCCTTCCATTCCCATTTATATTTTCTTCTATTCTTATCTATTCTTGCTAGGGAAACAAGAGTCTTTTGAAAAATCCTCTTCTATGAAGTGATATGACGTCTTTGTAAGTATCTTTGACTTCTTCTTATATGACGTGGGGGATGTATCTACGAAAGACATTTCAATGATAAATTTAGGAGTCAGTTTAGGCAATAAATGCTATTGAATATTCGAAAGTTAACATTTTACCTGTGCTTCTTACTTTCTTTTTATAGGCAGTTTTATGGGCTAATGGGCTTTATGTGTCAATCTTGTGTTTGACCTTCCATTTAAGTAAATAATTAATGATTTTTTTACCTTAATCTGTAAAAAAGTAATTAATAATTTTTTACCTTAATTTGTAAAAAATATCTCTTATTTTATTCTTAATCTTGTCTGGGGGATACTCGTCTTATGGACCGAAGGGATACTCGGATTCTTTCTTCTGTCCCCAGGACCGAGTGGTATCTTAGCTAGTACATTAGCCCCCAAGTCAGATGAGGTACAATACAAGGGCTTTTAAGGACTGTTGATCCTTTTCAGTGTCATGATGCTCCTGTAGATGAGAATGATATGATTTTATCAACTACCTGCTTGATTTTTACAGTATGTTAGATTTCTGCCAAATAGGTAGTCAGTTTCCTTTTTGGTGGTGAGTCCGAGTATATGCTAATATTATGAAATTAGGGTTTCATGAAACAAGGGTTTTCAATAATTAGGGTTTTCTCGTGGTCTGTGCCTTTGAAACGAAAGGTTGGTCGTTCATATCTGTTAATCTGAAAAGATCTAATGGTTAGAAAAGGGTGTGACTCTTTATCTTCCCAAAACCTTGTGTTCTATAAATATGTGGTGGTCTATGTATCATATACGTTTTCTTGCTCTAAATGGAGGGGTATATGCTAATATTTTGTTAGAAACTTTTCTTTCTCTTGATATTTTAAGGTACGCTTGTTTTATTTTTGTCCTTCTCTTCTTTTCTTGTTCTTCTCATGGCGTATTTCCTCGAGTGGGAAGATTCATTGTCAGACCATGCAAGGTCGACTACTACTTTTGAGGTTGGGGACCTCGGAGGGATCGAAAGGTTTGAAGAAGTTTCTTCAAGGCCGAATGATGTTGCGGATGAGCTTGATACGACTGTTAGGGAGTGTGAAGACAATGCTGAATCGTCTGATGCTGTCAACGATGGTTCTGAGTCTAGCGAATCGCTATAGAATTCTAGCCCCCTAGGGAGAGGCCATCGTTTCTACCTTGTGCAATTCCTGGTTATGAATGGGTAGATGGTGAAGTAGCCGTCTACTTCTCTCGTTTTCAACAAAATAGATGATTTCAAGCCTTTGTAGACCATTGTGATATATCACTATGGGAGGCTTCAGATCTATATCCTATAACTATAAGTGTTTGCCGAGGGGATGGTTCCGGCAATCCCGACCTTGTATTCTTAGGGGATGGTGTTGAGATGGTCGACACATTCTTTGTGTATGAGTATATGTTTAGGAAATTATGTATAAAACTTCCTTTTGATGATTTCCAAATGAGTGTGTTAAGGGTTTTGAATATTGTGCCGACACAACTTCATCCAAATGTGTGGGCGGTGATGTAAGCATTTAGAATTTTATGTAACTTTTATTATATAGAGTCTAGTGTAGGGTTATTTCTTCATTTTTTCTATATCCGTCCTTCAGATAAAGCAAGATGGGTGTCATTAATAAGGCAGTCCGAACTATTGCTTTTTAAGCCTTATACTTCCTCTTTCAAGGTTTTAAAACCAGCTACTTTAAATTAAATGTGCACCCTATCGGTAAAAAATATTTTTTTGATAATGAAAACAAACCGCTCTTCCCTTTTCATTGGACCAAAGTACCTCGCCGGTATGAGGTGTTCCCTGAAGAAATGTTATCGACAGAAGAGTTATCGGCCTTGGAATATTTGAAATCTCTACCTAGGTCCCCCAACCTTGCTTGGACATGGATGGTATACTTTGTCTTTGTAGTGCATAATTTGGATACCGGATTATATTGATTTAACTTCTTGTTTTCATTGTAGGTATAATGGCTCAAAGAGGGCTTAATGTGAATTATCGTCGAGGTTTGAGACAACGAGCTCATGAGGGTACCTCAGCTGAAGAACATCGAAACCCCTTTCTAGATCGGGTTCCAAATTTGGCTAAAGCACGCCCTTCTCCTCGTGATTTAGTTCTTGCCGAAGGTTAGCAATGGAAAAGAAAAGATAAAGGCAAAGAAAAATAAGAAGGAGAGGAAGCGCAAACATGCCCAAGCTGCGAGGTCGATTGGTCCAAGCAGCTCCACTATTTGTACCGTCATCTCCCGTTGTCTTTTATGACTCATTCTTTACTAAAGGGATTCAGCCTGCAAAGCTTGTCTGCTCAGATTTGTTATCAGAGACAGGGAAATATGTTGTAAATAAAGAAAATAACAAGTCTCGGTAGCAATGGTACTGTGAGTTGCAGTCTCAAGCAATAGTGATGTTGCACAACCTAGCCTTGGAACCTCTACTTGAACAAGAAAGGTTTAAAACCAGCTCTCATCCTTCCAAAAAGCTTTGGAGGAAAATGAAGAGATTCGGTCAAATTTGGCTGAAACAAACAGAGCTCTAGAGAATGAAGTGTCTCAGATGAAGGAGCATTTCAAAATTGTTGAGGGTTGGTTGTGCGCCACCGAGGAGGCTCTAAGGGTGAAAACCTTGGAGTTAGATGAAGTCGTGACAGGGGAAAGGCAAAAAACTGATGCTGAGATGAGGGCATTCACTGCCAAATGCAATGACAAGATAGTTGTCGAGCATGAGGCCGATTTTTATCATGCTATGCGTCAAGCATTTGAATTTTGCCAAGTCCCTGCCGACTTCTGCTTAGATCTAACTAGGGACTTCTTTGGTGGGAAGTTCTTACCTTATGATGAAGTGGATGAAGAGGTGGAACCCGACACCGAGGCACCCTGTCAAGTTCGCGCTGCTGCCGAAGACGCCCTTATGCACCATGATGGTGCTAAGGTGGGGAACTAACAATTTTTCTTTTTTGGTAAATCAAAGGCGGATAGTGTCTATTTTTTGTAATGCCTTTGGCCTTTTTGATAATACAAATTTGGTTTCTTCAATTCATGTTTGCCATTTTATGTTACACATTATTCATTTGCTTTATTGTGTCGTGATCCAAGATTTAATCGTAATTGAGTGATTGGTCAAGATGGGTACTTAGAATAATTCAATTTTAACTAAGTAGGGTATTCGGGAGAAGATACTTGTAATTAATTTTTCCTTAACCAAGAGGTGATACTTAAGAGAGTAGTTTAATTCATCCTTAACCGAGTGGGGTGCTCGGGAGGGAATAATTGGTTGATTCATCCTTAGCCAAGTAAAAAACTTGGGAGGAAATAATTTGACTCATCCTTAACTGAGTGGGGTACTCGGGAGGGAATAGTTTAATTGATTCATCCTTACCTGAGTGGGGTACTTGGAGGGAATAAGCAAAAATGCGTAATAATCGAGTACTTTGTAGAAAGAGGTAATTTTATTAACAAAGTGTCTCATTAAAAACCTTCTCAAGAAAATCTCTTTTCACTTTCTTTTAAGAGGACAAAATCTGAGTGAGGAAAAGAGTGCACTGATTTACATAATAAGCTTGAACTAAAATAATGTTTAAGGTGTGACACATTCCATGTCCTCAGTATAGTTCTCCCTTCGAGTGTTTTGAGTTTGTATGATCCATTATTGAGGCATGCTATTACTCGAAAAGGTCCATCCCAGTTGGCTGCAAGCTTCCCTTCTTGTCGGTCTCATCTAGCTTCCCCCATGGCTCTCCATACTAAGTCTCCATCCTGAAATTGCCTTGTTTAAGTTTTGAACTGAATTTTCTTGCCATTATTCTTCTGCTAGCCTTAGCCATGATTGCTGGCTGATCACGTGTTTCGTCCAATAAATCCAAGTTAACAGCTAAGGATTTAGCATTAGAGTGTTCTTCAAAGTGTTGCCTCTAAAAAGACAGTTCTCCAATTTTGACTGGGACCATAGCATCAGTACCATAGGTTAATCGATAAGGTGTTTCCTTTGTGGTTGTTTGGGGAGTACATCGATAAGCCCATAAAATCTCAGGTAATATTTCTGCCTATTCACCTTTTGTCAAACTCAATCTTCTTTTAAGTTCATGTAGAATGACCTTGTTTGTTGTCTCAGCCTGACCATTAGTCTGAGGATGTTCAACAGAGGTGACCCAATGCTTAATATGTAATCATTCTAGAAATTCATTAAAACGTCGATTTGTGAACTGTAGGCCATTATCTGTGATCAAAAAGTGTGGAATGCCGAAATGCGTGATGATGTTTTTCCAAGTGAATTTTTGAATATTATTTACTGTGATGGTGACAAGTGGTTCGACTTCAATCCATTTGGTGAAATAGTCCACTGCGACTATCAGGAATTTGCGTTGTCCTTTAGCTAAAGGAAAGGGTCCTAATAGGTCCATTCCCCAAACTGCAAAGGGCCAAGGCAAAGTGATCAGGTGAAGGTTGTCGGCATGTTGGTGTATATTTGTACATGTTGTTGGCAAGGGATACATTTTTTGATGAAAAGCTCACAATCTTTGAACAAGGTCAGCCAATAGTATCCGACTATCAGTACTTTTGTTGCCATTATTTTCTCC